TGTTTCATCTCCTCGATGCGGTTGGGGAGGTCGGTGGTGTCGCCCATGGTGAAGGCGTCTAGCAGGGCGTAGTAGATCGGGTAGTTGGGGACGCTGGTCAGCTCGTTGTCCGCCTGGTAGCTGCAGATGGTGTCGACGGACCGGTCGAAGACCTCCCCGGTCACCAGCGAGTTGTTGGCCGCTTGCTGGAAGGCCCGGAGGTAGGACGGAGTGATGTGTTTGGCGGCGTCGAGACGGAGCCCGTCGATCGAGTACTTGGTCATGGTCTCAGAAATCCAGCGGTTGAGCATGCGCTGGACGTCCGGGTCTTCGGTTTTCAGGTCGGGCAGGGCGACGATGTCGTCGCCCGTCCAGCACCGCTGCGCCAGCGGGTAGTCGTTGTAGTCGGTGATCTGGCAGTAGGGGTGGTAGTAGCGGGCCTCGTTGAAGGGCTGCAGCTTCGAGTAGTCGATGCTGGTGGCCGGGTCGTGGCCGTTCGTGAGATAGGCCATGTTGTTGATGACCGTGTCCATCATCAGATACATACCGCGGGTGTGGAGGGCCTGGCTCAGGTCGAGGAGATCCTGCTCCGTCCCGAAATGCGGGTTCAAGGCATACAGGTCTTCCGCCCAGTAGCCGTGGTACGCTTCCCCGTAGGCGACGCGCCCCTCGACGTTCTTGATGATCGGGGAGATCATCACTGCGTCGAAGCCCATCCCCTCGATGTAGTCCAGGTGGTCGATCATGCCGCGCCAGGTGCCACCGCAGTATAGACCGGCGGTCGTGTTGCAAGGAGCGGTCGTTGACCCATCCGTGCGAGCAAACCGGTCGGTCATCGTCTGATACACCGATCTGGTTCGCCATGCCCCGGTGCTTGCCGTCAATGCCGTGCTAAAGGGGCTTATGAGCATCAGTGCATGAAGCCATCGCGCAGTGCGAGGTGGTGATGCCATGGCGTGCGAGTGTGTTTGCGGGTGTATGCTGGGAAGAGACTATGTTATGTGACAACCAATAATGGGGATGTTATTCTCAATGCCACCGCTACTTTTTTTTGTTTCATATATCTTCCATAGTCCTGGTTGAGAGCAAGAAGACAAAACAAACAGGGGATTGATGTTGCAGCAGGTCTATCAAGGAAGGGTTGATCTCGAGATTCTCGAAACTATACTTTAGATGGTATCGACAAATGAATGTGATTGCGCAAGAAGATTAAGAAAGACAACGCACACGGAGAGTCAAAAATCGGACTCTGTCGCAGAAGGAGGGACTAGTTGAAGAGACAATAGACAGGCATGATGGGAATTTCAACCAAAGGCAGTGCTACCTACCCCTCCCTTTAAAGCGTATTTATCGACAGGCCCGGCCGACTGACTACCTAGTAGGACCGGAAAGACGCAGACTCGGAAATTCAGATTCTAAGCGGCCGAATCCCAGAGGATTCATTATAGGGTTAGGCAAGATGCCCCTCGGTGATTTATGGTTCAAGGGGAGAATGACCGGCATACTGCCAAGTGGAGCTGCCAGAAGTTGCTCTGCAGCTTTCATAAGATGAATGGAAGAGCCATGAAGAATTTCGAAACTGTGGCTGTGGATATCGCAATGTACTGTACTGTGCTACCACATGCTGTGATTGTTCGATCGAGTCTCGCTCGTTCTGATGAAGCATGCAGGCATAACTCCGGATGCACGAACCGGTGCAACATTTTGCGGGGAGAAAACGGTCAATGTAGAGGCGACCTCTCGGTCTGACCTATGCTGTAAGTATCCTTGAGCGGACTCACATGCAACTGGCTCATCTTGAATCGTCCTGACGGTCTGTGAGACAGTGGCAACCCTTTCTGTATGCAAGGATAATCCCAGCCGCACCGCAACAGTAAATCATGGCCAAGGGCGTGTTGCGGCATGCGGGAACCTGCAGCTCATGCGGCCTTGAATATGAACTGGTTCGGGAACCGAGGAGGTTGGATGAGAAGAATTGAGATTCTCAGGGAGTTATTCTCAAGCATAGTCTTCTGGAGCACCATCCTGCATCCTCACTCATAAACAGGCATCCTTCGGCCTTCTACGGAGTAATTGTGTTTTCAATCCATCCGGGCCTCGCAAGAGAAAATAGTATGTAAGGGACAAAACCCAAGACACTTGTGTCTCACATGGAAAAGCTTGGCATAGGCACTTTGAGGATGGGAGAGACCTTCGATCCGATCTTCTCAATGGGTTTTTGAAGAAACGAGGAATATATCAGTTGAGGAAGGAAGCTATGCGCGGGGCCTCTGCTCAGATGCGGAAACCGATAGGAAATACCTGCTCATAGGAAGAGCCTGGTGTGATCAACCAGGTACGGTACAGTGCATTATGCAAGGGGCACCATCGGGATGGTATCGATTCCTTCATAAGTCCGAGCCAAATTAGCAGATATCACATGATAGAATCGACTGATAAAGTATGTGATCATGTGAGACACAAGTCTTGACAGCTTTGGTTCTCTTTCATGAATCCATGGCTTGGAAACCCTGGGAGATACGGCACCATATAAGATCAGGAACGCGGACAATCGAGCCTAGATCAATCGTTTTCTTTTCGATGTTCTGCTGAAGATCATACGTACTAATATTACCTCATTAGATATTAACATTCCACATCATGGAAGAATTATCCGAAATGAAAAAACATAATGCGTTTCCTCCCTAAATACCTGCGCCCAACGCTGATGCAAAGACCGAAACGAAGACCTCGATGCCCCAAGTGACCCTCATTCTCGAGCATCATATGCATATGCTGAGTCCATACTTTCTCGCTAACCCCGAAGATGGGTTGTGGTGTGAGCCCATTAGCATTTCAGGCTGTAATAGTCACAATTCACTCTTCCTCTTCCTATGTCGTCCTTCTCACTGCTAGATCGAAGTCGAAGGTAATGCGCAGCACACAGTCTCAGCCGCAGAGCTACGCAGCATTCAAGAGAGCCTGTCGATATACTCGCGCGGAGTGAACGGGGAGGAATTGATGAAGGCCATGAGATGCACCGCGTATGCCTGGTTCACGCGCTCAATCTTGTCCGCGTCGCTCACTGTAACTTTGTATTTCTCCGAGACAGGCTCCTGACGGCGGACCTTATTCGATCCCTTGCCCTTCTCCTTCCTGGCTTTGATCTCCCCCTGGAGGGCGCGCACATCCAAGCCCCCGACACGAGGGGTCATCATCATCCCCGCCATCTGACAATAGTTCTCGGAGGTGATCTGGTTGAACGCCTTGAGGATCAGCGCCACTGTCTTCCAACGCTTGCATCGTTTCTCGGGCAGCCGGATCTGGATGAACTTCTCCGGCCAGCGGCACTCGTACAGATCCTCGAACAGGCGCATGTAGGGCGGACACTCGAAGAAGCCGCGCACTTTCTCCTTCAGGATCATCTTGTTGCCCCTCACGGCCGAGGCGGTGCGTCCGATCCGCAAGGTGAGGAGCAGGGAGTGGTCGGAGAGACCTTCGAGGTTCACGAACTGCACGTACTTGGCTTTGAGGATCAGGCTGACGTCGACCGACATGCAGCGGTTGACGGGGTTGGGATAGTGCTCGTTGATGAGCATTCGGCTGCCGACTGCATCGAAGGCCACGTCTAGCTGGGTTTCGCTCTGGTGCAGCTCGCGGATCTGGCCTGTCTCCGGACCGCATACGACGGCTTCGAGCTTGGGGAAACGGATGGGATATCTGAAGTGGCAGACGCACGACGGATCGTCGCTGACCGAGGGAGTTCCAAGGTATGAGAATTCATGTCATGTTTGTTGTTGATGTAGGAGGAGGGGGGGACTTGCCATGGATTGTTCGCGACTGACACACGCTTGGTTTGATCATCTTCGGCTGTCGGTTTCTCAGGTGCATGAGGATGAAGTGCACGAAAGTACTTCATGGTGGATTGAGATTGCTTTCTCTCAAGAGCTTGAGTTTAGGTTGGCTCGTGAAAGATGTGAGTTTTGTAAAGATCTGTACACGGGGACGATGAGGGGGAAGAGAGCTGTGTGAGGGAATGGGATTGGTGTTAGGATCGCGAGGGTGTTTACACTATGATTGCACGCAGCAACTGTCAGTTTACTGGCAGTTTTCACTGGGAACACTGTGCTTATCTTTGTAGCACTCCATAGTCAAGAGAAGGTCTTGCCTAACTTTCACTTTACCTCAAGGTGCTATGCCACATCATAGTGATGAGCTCTTGGAGGAAGTGCCACTGCATTTACAACGAGAAAAGCTAAAGAGAGCATGGGAGCTTCTCAATGTCATTCCAATACTTGCACATCAAGCAAAATCAATCATTGATGTGGAGAGTAGACTGTGTTCGCAAATTCAAAATATTATACAATGCTCAATATTTACTAGATGCTACGTGCGAAGATTGAGCTAGAAACCAAAGCTTAATGTTCCCAACGTGTCAGCTATACAGCGGTCACTGGTCTTGGATCAGCTTCACAGAGTGAGATATCATCCCAGCACGCAAACTGCCGTTCACATGGAGAACACCTCCAGCCACGTTTAATTGCTTAGTATAATAGAAATGCAGCCCCAAAGCTGCTGTTCCCTAGGTTGAATGTATCAGTCGGTGAGCATCACTAGTGAAGCTTCGCTGAAGGATACTAATTCATTCCTCAAAGATGGCGGGTGTCCTACAAGAAATTATTGCCTAAGGTAGTTAACGGTGATAGGCAACTTGTCTCAAAGCTGGTCAGGAACTTGAGTCTATGCGGTATTGCATTCCATAAGTAGGTGAGATCCAAGTGCAGGTCATCAGCTGATCTACATATTTAGGTATCATCATGGACTCACTGTCAACTTCACGGCCTCCCCAGTAGATACTCCTTTATTCGTTTGACTAGAAAATCAAGATTTGCTTCCTGCTTGGATTGGACTCTATTACACCATTCCAGCCCTTGAATATGCTGAGATCGAATATGGAACGAGGTTAGGGCCAGTCACTGAGTGCCGTCGGGAAGTGAGTCCGATTACCTAAGCACACCGCAAAGCTTCGCAAGGTCCCATCGCAAGCCTCGGACGGTGAACTGCAAGTCCAGCCATTGGCCCTCCTCGAACTACGACCTCAAAGCTATCTCCTTCCTCAGCATATAGCTACTACTCCGATACCACCATCATGTCTACGGAAATGGAAGTCGACCCTCCGGTGGTGCAACAAGAGGAAGAGGAAGAAGCTCCCGCGCAGTCCAGCAACGGTAGCCACGATCCGAGAACACAGGCGGGAGCCGTCGCAGTACGCAGCATCGAGGGATGGATTGTCATCGTGACCAACATCCATGAAGAGGCCTCCGAAGAGGACGTCACGGACTTGTTCGCCGAATATGGAGAGATCAAGAATTTCAGCCTGAACCTGGACCGCCGGACGGGTTACGTCAAGGTCGGTTGCTGCTATCTTCACTTCTACCATACACGGCATCACCGGGGCTGGAAAGCTCTGCTAGCTATTCCCCATAAACTCCTCTCGTTGCTTCTCATGGTATGCCAGATACTGACTCGTCTGTGGTCAAACAGGGATATGCCTTGATCGAGTACTCCACCCTCCCCGAAGCCTCGGATGCCATCAAAGCCTTGAACGGCTCCAAACTACTGGACCAAACCATCTCCGTCGATTTCGCATTCGTTAGACCGCCTCCCTCGAATAAAGGAAAGGGTGGAGGACAGAGAGGTGGACGTGGCGGCGGTAGAAACCGCAGCAGAAGCCGCGAGAGGAGCCGCAGTCCTGGAGCCGATGATGCACGGGACTAAGCCCGCCGTGATGTTTTGTTTGTTGGGAGAGCGTCCTCTTTTCAATTCATCTCACAGGCCGTGGATGCGCCAGACACTTGGCCTTTTGTTTGCTCCAGACCTCCGCCAGCATTGGGGTCCTGCTATTTTGCGCTCGCACTACAATAAGAATCGTATTGGCTGCTTAGGGTTGTCCAGATAATTCATGCCATGGGCTGGAAGTCTGGGAGCTGGCTCGACCAAATCGGCTCTAGGGGAGAGGGAGAGGAGGGGGTGGGAGAAGCAGAACAAAGCCGGCATTGTCTCCTGGGAGTTCCATATTATGCTCGTCGCCTGACGGGGGGAAAAAAGCCTTCAAAGGAGCATGGTGCCGGCATCATGAGGTTTCAGTGATATGGTATGTGCTACTGGTCTCTCTCATCTGCTCTGCCTATTTCCTTATGACCGTCATCTAATGTTGCAGTAGGAACATCCAGCCTGAATGACTGATGTTACAGAGCTAGATATCCCGTTCTGTCTACTAGCGTGTGTATTTAATCTTTGTGTCGGTTGAACTGACCGAATACGAGTGTCGCGTGGCCATCTCAATGCTTGTAGCGCCCTTCAACCAGAATGCTTTGTTGCTCACCTTGGTGATTTACATGACAGGCACCCTTAACCCACGAGACTGTTGGGAAACCATGGATCCTTGTAAACATTCTCCAAATGATTGATAAATGATCATCCGAGAAGGAAATGCGGGGATTAGGAAGGGGGGGGGTCAAGGCACCGGACAAGCGAAGCAATCAGCATAGGATCGTCGGGACTCCGGGGTTAAGTTCTGAATGGCATGCGACCAACAACAAGGAGGGCGCGTGATGCAAGACCAAGATTTGACTGTCAGAAAGAAGTGCCAACTGCCAGTTGAAGGTGCCGTGGAAAGAAATGGAGCTCATTCCCAGGTGGGATTAGTTAAGCCCGCCGAGACTCCTCCCTTCTCCCTCCCTCCCTCCCTTCCCTTCCTTCCCCCCCCCGCACAACGCCGAAGTTAACCTTAGACTCCCGACTCTTACTTTTCCCCATCTCTCAATCATCATCCTCCATCATCATCATCATCACTCCGGACTAAGCCCGGTTCCTCCTTCCCTCCTTCCCTCCTTTCCTTCTTCATGGCACGCACTGGGCAGCATTGAGCCGATTATGTCTCATTCGATCAGCTCCCTCAATTGCATGCAGCCCACTCTCCGTGCATCTATCCCCCCCGCGTGTCTGAAATAGCTATTTTTAAAATCAAAAGACAATCGTCATCCCTCTTATCTGCCTTTCCACTGCTGCTACTGCTACTGCTGCTTTTGCTACTGCTACTGCTACTGTCCCTTTCCTCCCTTTATTATCAGGCTTTCGAAACAAGCAGATCCCAAACCCCTCGGATCCGGGGTAAATACAGTTAGAACAGAATTACAATCATGCAAGCATTTCTGCTCATTTTTAGATTTCTCTGTCTGCTCCTAACCCTGTTTGAGACCAATGCGCTGGCGTTGCGGTCGCAGGACGTCCTTGCGCCAGTCGCCCTGGACGCACAGATTCCGCTCGAGGGAACAAATGCATCACCGTCGGAGCACCAGCTCCCCCTGCCTGCCCCGGATTCACCTCCCGAGTCCACCGAGAGCATCAGCCGCACGTTGCACGACTTGTTGGATGCTCTCCATGTGATGCAGGATGCTTATTTCGAACTGTGGCAAGGCACTTGGCCGTCGAGTATCGATTGGACTGCGGCCGTGCTGGGCACCCATGTCTCTGCCACACTTGCCTCGCTGACTGCCACCACCGGCGACGTGCTGTCGACCGCTGTGTCACCGGATGATCTTGAAGATTGGAAGCACTCGACGAAGCGCGGTCGTTACGAACTGGGCTCGGAGAACCTAATCAACCACTTCTTCGACCAGACTTCCGCGTTCTACTTTGGCGAGAATGCCATCTCCCTGCGTGGTCAGGCCTTCGATGATATGCTGTGGGTAGTCCTGGGTTGGCTGGAAAACATAAAGTTTCAAGTCTTGCACTCTGATCTGCACTATGACGACCCTTTCTCGCCCAACGCAACTGCGAAGCTACGCTGGCACGGAACCCAGTTTCGATCCCCCGCGGCGCATCGAGCACGTGTGTTCTACGGCCTCGCGTCCGGGGGGTGGGATGAGTTGCTCTGTGGCGGTGGGATGATTTGGAGCCCTTACTTGACCCCCTACAAGAATGCCATCACGAACGAATTATATATCTCGGCGAGTATTGGGATGTACCTGTATTTTCCAGGTGACAAGATTCAGTCCCCCTTTGTGGCAGGAATCGTTGAGGATGAGGACTGGTCAGATGGCTATCCGCATAACCCTGCCCACCTGCAAGCCGCCATTGAGGGCTATGCCTGGCTCAATTCATCTAACATGACCGGGAGCGATGGGCTCTATGGTGACGGCTTCCACATCAGTGGCTGGGAGAGCGATGACCGGCCTGGCACCCGCAAGTGCGATGTCCTCAACACAATGGTATATACCTACAACCAGGGGGTGATCCTTAGCGGGCTTAGGGGACTCTGGTTGGCAACTGCTTTGCAGCAGTACCTGTACGATGGTCATCAATTAGTCCTGAATGTGATCAAGGCAACCGGATGGCCCGATAAGGACAGTCAACAGTGGCAAGGTCTTGGACGCGGCGGGGTTCTGGAGGAAGTGTGTGACTCTTCCGGAGGTTGCTCTCAGAACAGTCACACATTCAAGGGGATTTTCTTCCATCACCTGGCGGAGTTTTGTCGGCCTATCCGGCCGCAGGAGGTACGATTCCTGGCTAGTGCGAACCAGACAGATGAGGAAGGAGAGGCATGGCAGTATGTGTACGAGTGGCACCAAGCTCGCTGCCGCGCATATCGGCCGTGGATCGAGCATAATGCGAACGCGGCTCTTGTGACCCGGAACAGCGAGGGCAAGTTTGGCATGTGGTGGGGAAACCAGTCCCGCGCGTCTGGGAGCACTATCACCGATGAAAGCCCTCTGCCGCTGGGGGCGATTGACTATGAGAACTATGGAGCACGGGCTGAGGGATCCGAAGGGCTGACGGGACTTCTGCGCAGCCGTGACTCGCGGAGACTCGCCGATGAGAGGTCCGGCTCTGGGATCGGAACGCAGCCGTACGGTTGGGGGCTCGCATCCGGGTGGTCACGCTCCTCAGAGGAACAGCCAGACGTAACCGAGCAAGGCAAGCACGATGCCAATGATCGGGGCCGAGGACGTACTGTTGAGACGCAGTCAGGGGGCATTGCAGTGTTGCGGGCCCTGTACCAATGGAAGAGCTCACCGTCTCTAGCATGATTGGGGGAGGTTGCTTAGTTGCTTAGAGTATCCTGTATAGTTTAGCGGTTATGAGTATAATGCACATACCTATATGTTAGGGGTCATTATAGACATGGGGAATTGGGGTCCGGTGGCAAGGCACCTGCGTCATCCGATGTTATAGCCGTGCATGCATACGAGATGATTCCACAGGATTCCCAAATGAGTTGTTGAATCATGCATATACCGAGTACATTGTACATTGTACATCATTCTCCATGGCAGGTTGCCAGATGGGGAGAGGAAAGCTTTGGCTCACCGCGGCTAACCCCTTGGTCCCCTCCCCTCCCCCGATTATGCCGGCCCCATCTGACCGACAGAATGATATAACGTGAGATCATCCCTAGAAAAAAAAAACCACAGCAATCAGCAGACCCGCGATCTGCATAATGAATTGTTCGAATGATGTAAGCCAGGCGGGATTGAACTTCTTGCTGTTTTACAGGATGAACGATCCGCAAAAGTTCGGTAGTTGGGGTAGTCGGTGTATGTACTGTTCAGTGCTCCGTAAAGTCTCAGAATTGATTATGATGCTGACCCGGGCCTCGGGGACTCCTTTCCTTTCTCGTCTCTACCGTATCCTATGTGGCCTCTTCAGAATCCTTGTGCCATTAGCCTGTTATGTACTTAATTTTTGCTGGAAAAAAAATTTCTTGAGTAAAAAAGAGAAAGGCGTGTGTCGATTACTCGGCAGATTCCGTAACTCAGGAATTCTCTCCTTTTCTTTTCTTTTTCTTTTGGGTCTTTTTTTTAAAAAAAAAAAATTAGTGCTATTACTCCATAGTTCCAATCCCTTCCTGTTGTTCCCCACTAAGACAGCAGACAACGACGACGACGACGGCGGCGGCGGCGGCATTACTTCCCGATTCTTTGATCCCTAGCCCTGAGGGTAGTTACTGTGTAGTTAGTTCTACCAATTTCTTCTTTCGGAGACTTTCACACAGAGATCCTCAGACTCAGACCAACTTCCATAAAAGCAACAGCCATAATATCAAGTCAATTGGAGGGGAGGAATCCGCCCCCGAGAAGTCACCGAGGTTGCTATCCTCATACAACAATGCGCAGGTACATACATGCCACTCCTAATCCACACCGTCGATGAAACAAAGTTGATGATGATGATGATGATGCAAGATTCATGCCTAGTGGTTTCCTAGAATTTCTTGATGATGAATTGATTTGACTTGGTTTGATTGAGACTAGTCTGTCTTTATACAAGGCGAGCACGAACCACCTCCCCCCTCCCCCCCTCCCCCTTCCGCCTCCCTTCCGCCTCCCTCCCTCCCCTAAAAGCCACGTTTTTTGTTGTTTCCCCTAGACTGCTGTGAGTACTAGTGCTAGTGATCTCGGAGTTGATATCAATTTGGGACGAGGGGGATTCATTTGAGGTTGGTGGGTGGGTGGGTGACAGTCGGGCTCCGGCTTCAGGGGACTTGTTGTAGACCACAGAGTATATCCACCTATATTGGGGCTCTATGCTAGGCTACTAGGGAGTAGTTAGTGGGCTATATCGTACAGTGGGCGGTAGTCCGGTTCTATGTTGTGTGTTGTTGTTGTGACAATGTGCATGCACTGCACTGCGGTGGTTTTTGGTAGACTGTGGGTTTTGTTGATGGGTTGGCTGTATCTTTTCTACTGTATGTCAACTTTCTGGGTATGTAGGAACTTCATATACCGGTTGAAGGGGGCAGAAGATATTGAGAGTACGTATGAGGTGCTCTACAACAGGCGCATAAGTGCTTAGTACTATGAGCATATCGGATCCGCGTTATCAAACAGCATGAATATCTACTTGAGTATTCCAAGCGAGCTGACTGGTCCCCAGGAGGTTGTGGGAGGATCGGAGATGGTGGGGACAAGAGGGAACAGAGGATTCTAATTTCTTTCTGGAAGGAGGAGGAAGGGGGGGGTTTCTGGTTTCTTTCGGGGGGTCGATTCTGATGACCCTGTACCCGTACATTAGTTGCTGTGCGGAACGGACTACGGGGAAGATTGGAGGATTTGGGAATGATAACCCCTGGGTGCTGGAGCAGGAGTTGACTTATGAGTACCCGAGTTTGTTTGTTTGTCTGTCCATGCTCATTTCATGATACGTAACTGTTGACGTTTGAGCTAGAGAGATGCTATAGATGGATAATGGTTGATGGTTATTATCTATAGGTCTTGTCATAGTGATGCCTTTCCTTGAGGGGACGGATTTACTTGCAAGATATCCGAGTCTATATCTTCATAACTTCAATATAGATGTATTTATAGATCGTGGAAATGTACTGTACATGAATACCTTAGTTCTGAGCCTTTCTTCATGGCCTTTCGAATGTGGTTGGGGGTTTATAACTCCGAACCTCCGAATGTTTACCACACTCCCATCTAGTATCTATGTTAATTGGACCAAGGATCTCTCAACATAAAGGTGCAATGAACTACAAATCAGGAACTCAAAAATGGTTTTACTTTTCTAATTTCTCTCTTTCTTGCCGCTTTTCCATCTTGCGGTTTGGGCTGAAAGCCACCATGCAGGTTTTCGGAAGGGGGGAGGGGAGGAAATCGGATTGGACCTGTTAGTCCGAGTGGATATGTGAAAAGTGGTTTAGTTTTAGTTTCGATATTTTTTTTCCCATATGAACCCCCGGTCTCTGGCAAATCAACGATCGAGGTAGGGAAATACTGGGCTCGGAACTGGGGACCATTTTTTTTGACACCGTGATTAATTGATTGATAGATTTGATCAAATGAGGGGTGGTGCCTGAGCTTGACTTTTTTTGTTGTTTTCCTTGTTGCTGCTGCTGCTGCCAAGTGGGCTAGCTAGTTGTTTTGGAGATGCACTTTGGATGGATTGACAGGAAACATAGATTGGCTCGATAGATGGACGGGCAAGGGGTGTGTGTGGGCAGTGAGAACGGTGAACGGGTTATGAACTGGGAAATGTTGCATATCTGCCAGGGAAAATATCCCCCAAGCTCCAGATGGGTGGGTGCTACTGCTGGGCGGTGGTTGGTACCTGGCTAGTATAGTAGTATCTACCACCAACTTCTTGACTAGTTTACCTGATTTCTGCTTGGTGAGTTGGTATGTGCTTACTGTACCTACCTGAGAACCAGTAACCAACCTAACACACGGTCAGGGCGTGGTAGCCTACCAGGCAATAATAATAGCCAAGAGGTGTATACGTACCACGACCTGACTCCATTTGGCATGCTAACGGTAGAGCAGGGGGTGGAAAATTCAAAATAAAGGAGGGGAGCAGCCGAGGTGGTGGATAGTGGTAGTGGGTAGCTTGATGGGGGGGGGTTCCAATCACTAGGTGATGGATACGGAGGGACGATTGATCCTTCTCTTCCACAGCCCAGTAGTATTAGTTGCCCCTCCTTCTGAACCGACGGCGATGACTGACAGCCTTTGATAGATGATGACTGTGGCTCCGAAATTGACCTTCTTTCTCCGCCTCGTGTATGTAAGTCTGAGGAGAACGGTGTGCCGTGTGAAAATCAAAATGAGGAGGCGGCAACAGTTATGCGCCGATCAGGATTATCGATAGGGAGAGCCCATCCAATATCAAGTGACATTTGATCATGGATTGCTGAGACCGTCAGCCAAAAGATGGCCCTATCTTAGTCATCGTCAAGGTTGAGTGAAAGAAAGGAAAGGCTTGCTCGCACTTGGCGGTAATAGCGGAGAATCGCAGTTCAGCCACTACCCGATCGCAGATCGGCGGTTCTGTTCTTTATCGTCACTCGCTCAGGGAGTGTAGGAAACGAGGGCAGCATCGTGGACAGGCACTTTAGCTTGCTTGTCATCACGGTCAGCGCGACCAGGGGGGGGGGGGGTATGTGGTTGTGAGGTTCGTTCGCTGTCGGGTGATTTCATCGCTGTTTCAACTGGCGATGGGACATGTGTATCCCGGTACTCGCCTGGTACTTACCATTTGACCTGAAGTGCTGTATGATATGCTGTCCTGTAACCACCTAAGCTATCTGTCTTGACTGTTCCTGAAGCATAGTGAAAGGATCCGGTGGATAATGTGAAGTTATCAAATGCCTCACGCTGAAGCAAGGCAGGTAGCTACTCTCCTGCACTGCACTCTGTTTCTTGCAAAGGAACAGGTGCACCGTGGACAAACCATCATTTTCACTATCACAATAACAATCAACATCATCATCATCATCATCATCGGAGAAGGGTGGAATGGACTGGTGGAGCAAGAAGTAGTCACGCGGTCAGTCAGTTGTGTGTACCCTTACTTAGTACATCACGGGAACGCTGGTATGGTATGGTAAACTCGACCGGAAGACCCCTCTGGGATCCTTCCTTCCTTCCTTTTCTCTCATCTCGGGATTTCCTCGCTTGTCTCGGTTTCATGTATTCCCTTTAGGTAAACGAGGCTGAACAATAAGTTATGGAGAATGACAATTGATTGACTTGGTGACCTTTCTTCACATTTGAGACAGCAGCAGGTAGCAGCATAGAAGCAGCAGCAAGCGAAGGAATTCGGATTCCATGCCTGCCGATCGTCAAATAAGCATTGTGTCTCTCCTTTGGGTCCTTTAGAGACAAAGAGCGACAGTAAGACAGCCCCATCGACATTCCCCATCGCCTGATGGCGAGAAGTGGAGGAGGAAGAGGTGGTACTGTACGGAGTACTGTATGTATGTACTGTACCTCCAGTTATACGTACTACATGACTGACTTACTACAGCTATTCCTCTTCATTGTCCAAGTCGCATACCCAACCAAGTTAATCCACTATGCTATCCACTATACGCACACGCGCGCGGAGCATCGGACGACAGGTATAGTGTGGCTAAGTAGTAGTTCATGAGAGATGATAGGGAATTGATTGTAAGCGCAGTTGACTTGATAGTCCCATGATCTTTTTCCGGCTCTTTGAATCTCTCATAGTCATATTCTCGCTTCCTTCAGGGGATGAGAGAGTGTTCCATAGTTAAGAGTAAGATGTGTGAGCGAGGGAGAGAGACGAGCGCGCGCGCAACTGCATGCAATGATGCGGGGGTTAAGGAACATCTGCCACTGGCTGGCGGCGGGTTGCTGGTCTGCTGTGTTCAATTTCAACCTCATTTGATTGACCCGGGTTTACTACTACTAGTAGTAGTACTGCCAATTGCCCTTAACGAGGATCAAAATGCCAAGATCTCCTAGTCATTTGTTCCTTGGACCTTTCCTGACTTCTGCAATTTGGAATCCCTGCGAGCTTTCTCTAGTGTTATTATCGTTGTTATCCCTCTGCGGGACCCCAGTCCGGCCAGGAGTCAAGGTCGAACTCGTGTAAGTGAGAGCAGAAAAACCGGATAGACAAGACTATTGTATCGAACCAGGAGGAAGACGCGTTGCTCTTCCTTCGAAAAGAGTGGACGGTGTGTATATCTAGTGTACCAGAAGACCAACCAAAGAAAATTCACCAACCCCATGAAATAATAACAACATTTAACGAGAAAAAGTCAAAAGAAAAACAAAGGTGCACTAAAGTAGCCGCCGGGGAACGTTCCGGGCATCGTCCGTTGAGTTGGGGCTCATGTATGTCTGTATGTGTAACTAAACCATTTAACTTGCTGTGGCGCCTTGCTGGAAATTTGCCACGATAGTACTAGCGGTCGAAAGGGCTGAGAGACGCGATCTGCTACATAGTTAGTACTCTGTTGGTGCTGAAGGATTTAAGTATTGATACTAGATTATAATCATAAAATCAATTTCCCCCTCCTCCTCCTAAAACCCCCCTCCCTCCCCTCCCCTCCCTAGTCCCTACTACTCATAATATGACTCCGCCCAGTGACGTTGATCGGTTTCAGTCCTCCACCAGATAGATAGATAGATAGGAAGCATACTTATGTATGAGTTAGGTACGGAGTAGATGGAATGGAGTCGGTCGGAGATATTTGACAGCCTCAGCTGAAGTAAAATCCTTTGTTTCTGGGTTTCCCCCTCTCCCTCGCGTACTTTGGCCCAGTCCTTCCTGAATCGGAGCCAGTAGGAATGAAAAGAAAGAAAAACAAAAGTACCATTTGGTCTGACCGAAAGAACTGTTCAATTTGTGATTTAGAGAGGGCGCAAAAAAAAAGGTCGTGACAAGAGACAGGTCCAATAAGAAGACTTCCCATGACGTGCTCATCCGTCATCACTTCACTGGGCGGCGATACTTCTTAGTTATTCATTCTGGGTTTCTCCCGAGCATTGAACCACGGTGGCCGACGGTCAGCGCCGCAAGGGCCAAAAGGGGACCCAAGGGTAAGAAAGAGGTGATTGGAAAAGACAGGCACGCAACAAAAGGGAGTTTGTTCAGTGTTGAATTTTCTCTGAGATGTTTCCCATGGTCGGGCGTGGAGTGGCTATCGGTGTTAGAATCGCACTAATCCCACTTATATGGGTCATGTACTGTGCAACCACCGCAAAAAGCTCTTTCATCCAGTCTACTGTATCTACCCATGTGCACAGCACAGACAAGGGAAATCGACTTCGTGATGATCGTTGTTGGAATCCTTGTTTCAAACAACATCCACCCTATAAATCAAGAGCAGCAGTAGATGTGCTGTGTCTCCCTATCTATCGATCCTATCCACTGCATATGTACTAACCTCACTATCTTACCCCATACATCTCAGGGGGGGGATCACAATTCACAACTAATTAGGGGACCAATTTCGTCACTTTAGCAACGCTGTGATTCGATCCCCCCGAAGAGACACATGTTCCCGGGTGGTTCTTGGATCGGCGGCTTGCACATCCTTGCCCAATTTTCAACGCTGCCTCCTCACTCGTTGGCTGTTCCCGGCCATGATCCGTCAGAAGATGTCGAACCCGCGGGAATGGATCGTCCTGCCCCAGCCGTTGATGCTGCTGGTGGAGTTTAAGCTAGAGGGAGTAAACTCCGCCGCCAATCGATCACTGGCAGTTTGAGATTTCTCTGCACATCAAGGGTGGGTGGATGTGTGTGTGTATGTGTGTGTGTGTCTTTCGCTCTGTGTGTATAGTATCGTGTACTGTGTAGGTTACCTATTTGTAGTATTGTATTGAGGACTCCGTGCGAATCTGAGACTTGACCAGCTGGTGGAATCGCGGTTTCCGACCCAACCGGACACCCTACTAGGAGGACAATGGATTGTTGCACCGTCGAAGGGCGTGCAGTTTGATTGCCATCGCTAGCTCCGTCGTCGTAGAAGCAGAAATAGTAACAGCTTCATGCCTGAAATCAGCCATGGACTGATTGATATTGGCGGGTGATTTCCCACCCATCTACCCTTTTGCCTACATACAGTATCCCGGCGGCGTGGGGGGGGGCAGCCATAGGGCATGGGACTAGGGTACTTTTCTAGGTCCTATGGCCCTGAGGATCTCCATTTCTACCAGGTTGTGTCTCGCTGGGGATCAAACCAAGAAGCCACAATCTGATGGGCTCGATCGACATTGCATGACCTCCCCTGAAGGACTTCAGAAACGAAAAGACGTTTTGAACTAGGACCGACTGACTACCGTTGACTAACTTACAGACAGCTGTTGCCCCATAGAGGGAGATTAGCCATCTACGGTAGGCTCGCTCTGCCCTGCGTGGCTTAATGATCCGCCGCTCGCCGCCCGCCGCCGCCTCGGCAGTCGAGCAGGGGGAGGCGCGCGCGAGCGCGCCTGCTCTCACTCGCTGGGCATGAGGATTGCTATGACCCTGGCTACGTACTGTATGTATGCGCAGCATGATGGTCGTGGTTCATGGGTTTTTGTGTCGTCAATCATGCCGATTGTGATCAGTGAACCCGTGGCGACGGCACGACTGGAGCCGAAGGGGGCGGCGGCGGCTGTCCGTGAACGGGCACAACAAAGGTAGAAAAATCATCATGTCACGCTTCGACATCATTCATCGCCATCGATCATCATCGCCTACAGTGAAACCCATCCTCATGGTGCCCTTTCTCCGCCTTCCTCGGCACCGGCACACACACACACACACACACAGACAGTTTTTGAGTGTGGTGTGGCACTGGGCAAAGTGTGGGAAGCGGTGGGAAACAGATGAGGATCATCGCCATTCCTCCGATGGACCACAACTTTCTTCTCGTTGGGCGGGTTGGCTTTTTGCCCCCCTTTAGGGGGGATTTAGATTCGCTGCTAAGGAGAAAGAGTCGTCGAACCAAGGGGCTTGAAATCCTGGGCCTGAAAGTCACTAACCGAACTAGAGGCGACGAACGAACCCCTAAAGAGCCGTGGAAAACCTGTAAGTAGTGGTTCCCCCTCCTCTCTTCCGCCCGCCCACCAACCACAGGAAGGCAGGCCGAACGGAGCTCCTTCACCGAAACATTCAACAGTCAGTGCTCTGCTGCTTACTGCTTGCTGTTGTTGCTGCTGCTGCTGCTGTGTTGTGTTGTTGGGAGGAGGAGGAGGGGGGGAAATGGGAAAATCAAGAAAAAAAAGTAAAGAAAAGAAAAGAAAAGAAAATTAGAGAACAAAAGAAACGATTGAAGTTCACATCATCGTCATCACCATCATCATCTTGAATGATTAGCGCGTAGGAAGATTTTCTTTTCCTTGTCGATAGGGTACCTTACTTGACCAAACTGCCGGTTCAGCTGCTGCTTGCTCTGCATAATATTGTATATTATTTCCCATGCCATTTTTTGGGGGGATGATGTTTATCTAATATTTTCTGTCTCTTTTGGTCATATCTCAATCTCTTTTCTGAATATTCCCGTACCCAGGAATACGGCGAATATCATTCCAGTGGCGGCCACGAGTCTTCCCACCTTTAGTGCGCTGGCACTAGTCCCGAAAATGGACAAGTAGCATCCACCGGGGTACCACTCCGTACTCTGTTTGTACCTCCCATACCGAATTTGGCACTGTTTTCTGCCCAAAAGTACACCAAATATGTACTAGGTAGATGGATTATGTGACTTACTCACTTGCTCCATCGCATACGTAGGTAGTGTGGTCTCTACTGGGCTGTGTACACTGTACAGTACGTACTGTACTTGCTCTATCTTCAGCTTCTCTCTTTCTCTTTCTTGTTGTTTCTGTTTATTTTTCATGTCAGGGCGGTTTTCGCCTCTTTATTTATAAACCATATCCGAGGTTAGTTATATGGTACACTACACATAGTTTGATGACGAGGGAAATAGTATGCGCTTAGGGGAAGTGAGTAAGCGGCTTTGGTCATCGGAAGTATTCCTCTTGAGTAAAAGTGGACAAATATAGGTATCCCGCGTGTAGTGAGTGGTAGGTCATCGCAGGATTATCTCCTCTCACATCCTTTCCTCTCCCTCCCATCCCCCTCCCCCTCCCCCCCCCCCCCCCCTCCCTCCTTCTTTCCTTTCCCAATTGGTACAAATTTGGTAATATTAGTCTCCATATGGTTTATTACCGAGTCATTAACCGGCTTTTTTTTTTCTTTCTGGTATCATTCATTACCTAGTTACTGTACTTCCCTTACTAACTTAACTTGATTCTGGTGACTACGGCCGAATGAAATTATATGAGCAAAAGTATCTGTCCTTGGGTCAATTGATTATCACTTACCATTCTCTCTCATTACTACCGCCATTATTATTTCCCACTCACCTCGACACCCGCGCTCTGCCCGCCAAACATCCACTGGAACCATCATTATTATTGCGACGAACTCTTCCTACAGCGACTCTCGCAGCGGCTTCTTCCAGTGTCTCCAATTTTTTTAAGACTATTACTCCTCTTGCTCCTCCTCCTCCTCCTCCACTATTACTACCAACCAACACAGAGACAGAGCTCTTCTTGTTCTCTCTTTCTCCCCTTCCCTTTTCTCTTTCTTCTCTTCCCTCCCTCTCCCTCTCCCTCTCCCCTCTCTTCTTCTTTTCTCCTCTTTCCCCCCTCTTCCTTTTTCACTCGCACATCCATCCATTCTTCCTCCCTCCCCTTTTCGATCGAACGGCATTGCGACGGTGACAAACTTCCGTTCCTTAACGGCTTCAACCACACTACCACCAACCCGCTTCGACCATCAATTCTACCTCTCCACCCACTTCCACTGACCACTTTTAACCTCCCCCCCCGGTCCATGATTTTAGTCCGCCCGTTTTCGGACTGCCCAACGAACTTTCTCCCACTCAAGTTCGACGACTGCGAATAAATCTAATTCCCTAATTCAAATAGACCCTTCGCCCGAAAAAGGAACATTGGCAATAGCAATTATTCTCCAGGGACACATAACCTGCGTTGTTGAATTGCTTGCTATTGTTGATTCTTCTACTTCTTCTATCATTTCCTACCTACCTACCTACCTACCTACCTACCTACCTACCTACTTACCCAGCAACTGTATCGGCTATCTTTCTTAAGTTCGCTTAACCGATACGTCTGTCCTTTCGGTCACTCCCTTTTTTGACCCTCACTATTTTGGGAGGCCCTCCCCTTTTTTTTTACTCCCCCCCCCCCCTGCGCTTCAATCTTCCGGTTACAAATCAGTCGAAGTCTATACGATTCCAGTTAGGGTTCTTTTCTAATCGATCCCCTGAACTCGCCGCCTCTCCGACGTGGTGAATCCGGATCTCGTTACAGCTATTTGTCTGCTTTCGTTGTCCTGGATTGCTTTTTCCGGCTAAATCCTCGTCTGCCGGCCTGGGAAACACCCCCCGTTTGCTTCAACGACAGCTACCTCCAGCGAAACGCAGATCTTTCAAATCTGAGGTCATCGCTAGAGGTAGTCACGGCCTACTGTGAGAATAGAAGGAACTCGATTGTTGACCATATCCTGTTGTGGGATTTCTACCGAACCTTGAACGACCGAGAAACCTGGAAACCCGCCACAGCGACCGCCCGAGAGTTGCTCTGATTCCATCGCTCAAGCCACCCTCAACCACCGGAATTCTTAAATCCAACCACCGGCGCCACCGCCAGCACGCACAAACCATGGCGTCGACGTCAGACATGCACGGTTCCTCGCCTGTCCCAACCCTGCCGCATCCCCACGACAACGGTCGCTCGCATATGTCCTCACTTTCCTCATCCTCATCCATCTCTGACGTTGAAACCGAACGAAGAGGACGATCCGAACGCCCTCGCATGGCCAGTCGAAAACCGAGTGCGTCCATCCTTGTACCACGAGATCACCCCGAAATCGAGATTGAAGAAGAGGAATTCCCGCCCGACGACGCGCGCGCCATGAGTCCCCGCCGAAATTCCGCAGATCTGGAGCGACTGGGCAAGGAGGCCAGGCAAACATTACAGGAGTGAGTTTTGGGCACCATCCATCAATATACCCGTCACATAGCATGGGCGCCACTTCGACCACGCAGAAAGGGGGTCAAAAAAAAAGGAAGAAGCTAATGGAATCTCGCAATCTACGAACAGGCAAGCCAGAGCCCTTCAATCCTCACTCCAAGCGCTAGCAGAACGCATCGAAGCTGTGAAATCCGACCATGACAAACTGGAGAGCGAAAACAAGTTCCTTCAGGATTATATTGGTGGATTGACCCGCAACATGACCAAGACGGAAATGGGACGGACGAGCACCAAAGTCAGAAAGGCGCAGAAATAACCACAAGATCCCTGTTATCGACCCTGGCTGTTTGGGACGGGTAACGGTCGGGGCCTAGCAGCTGCTGCCACGAGACGGATGGCGAGCGCTCGTTCAAAGCCACGAAACTTCACACCTGCCATGCGATGACCCCCTTTTCTCCTTATTTCTCGCCATCCCCGCCGATGAATTCTTGGTCTTGGTCGAGCCACATTCCCGGCCGGTCCCTGCGTGCCTGGCATAGTCGAGAATGGTGGCTGTTGGCCCAAGCGCGTCCTCCGCAATCCGCCAGTCGATCAATTTTCACAAGAAGGCCGGCTCTTTGAACTTGGGATCTGGAATGACATCTGCGGCTTTGTCAGGTGGAACCTCGTGCTACCCACGGCGGTCGCCATATTCGACCGAAGGCTCGCGAAACATACGTCCTCGGATGACCCGTGTTGTTTACGAAATCGATATGACTTTGGGGGTGGCGATCACGTTGACAATCTCACGACTTCGGCCGACCTAATCTGCCGTGCCACCCAGCATGTCGCCGACCCACACGTCAATTCGCATTGCGCACGTCCCGAAGAACGATTGTGACATCATTGCATATTCTTCTTATCTGTTTCTACGGGAGCTTTTTCGTCGATCGACGCCTACGGTCTTGGCAATTATGCCAGCGCGTGATCCGTGATGGTAGCACCATTGTTTATGCTGCCTGTCAAAGCCGATGATAGCCAAACCCCGGATCTGTTTACCTTCTACTGTTCATACTTTTTTCTTTTTCTTTTCTCCCCTTTCTGTTTTCTCTTTCCATGCCTTCGTCTTATTCCTCTTCTTTTCCTACTTGTCTTATCATACCGGAGGCCTTGTGTATTGGCATAGCACGCGTGGCGTTGGGACTTTGACTGGGATTGATACTTAGACTCGCTTGTTTTTGTTGTTTGTTTCCATCATTTCATCTCTTTTTCGAATACGGAACCGCACTGGGCGCATTTGTTCTCATGGTCTGCAAAAAGGCGGGAAAGCATTTTCACGGAGCAGCCAATATCTTCATGTGGTTTTGCATCAACACAATCAACATCCACCAACCAACACTACCCTCGTCAAGTCACAAATCACCATCCATCGTGGGTCCACGCCATCCGACCTCACACCCTTCTCCTCCGCCTCCTCCACACATCCACCTCGAACAACCTTGCCACCGCTCTCAACGCCTTTCCCCCTTTATACTCGTGTACATTGGAATCGTCCCGGTCTGACGATTCGGAAATTGCGGCTTTTCTTTTTGTTTGATTGTTCTCATTTGGCACTGAAGACATTTGCTTACCATACCCAGAAGCGAGCGGTTGTTGATACATTTGAAATGAAAAAGAAATTTGATACATTGGTGTTTCGCGTAGCTGTAGGATTTGACTGTGGGGCTCGCTCATCGCGCTGAAAATACCATGATTGTGACCCAGTCAACCGCGAGTTGTCTGACACGGCGTGGATTAGTACATTTGTAGATCCGTTTGCTTATAGATCGGAAGTTGCTATAGGGATGAAACATCCACATAAGACATCCCGTCGTCAGTTTCTGATTACAGGAAACCCCAGTGGCATCACTCTGCATAAATCGATGACCCCACGTACATACATCAAGGACATCCTGTATCTGCGGAGTCACATCCTTTCACCTGTGCACTGGGGTCTTCTTATACTTTCCCCCGTACTTTTTTCTCCCCGACAGCCGATCAACCGACTGGAAAGTATGAGTATAGATAGGTATGAGTCACAACGACTGCCGGATGGACAAGCATTCGGTGACATCCACTCTTCCAGGTAGTGTGTAAGCGTGTTGCCTATTATCGTAATTGATGTAGTCAGGAGGATATTCTCACACTTTTGTCTTTGACCAGACCAGAGAGTGAGAGGAAACGTCCGTCATCCATCGGCAGTTCAAGTTAACATCCACTGACTATCCTTCTTAGTCCCACTACCGCACATACATAACACTACTAGTAACTTACTTACCATCCAAGCACAGCAAAGCAAAGTAGACAGCGGTACCAACAACACCTACCAATGCATTAGTTACAGCCGTTCACTTCTTTAGCAGCACACCTACAATAATCATCCATGCTCACTGCGTCCCGAGTCCCATCCCATCCCAACCCCACTCACTATCATCGATGTTCGGCCGTCAGCCTTTTCATACTAAAGAAATAGGGTCGGTAGTATGAGGACTACCATACTATCGCCCCCCAGAGAAACCGTATCCCATAATTCACTCTGCATACAGTCCAGCCCAGACAGTGTTACGGAGTATGTCAATCCCAAACACCAAAAAAAAGAAGAAGAAATTAAGATCGTCCCGTGAATCTGCAAGCCGCGTACGTCATACCTTACCTCCCTTCTGCGGTTTGTTGGGTCCCGGGGGTCCCGTGGCGTTGACTTCCGTTGCCGCTGCCCGTTGTGTTTTGGGGGGGGGGAAGGAACTGGGGCTGGGGCTGGGGCTGGGGCTGGGGCTGGGGTTGGGGCTGAGGGTAATCCCTACCTACCACCAATGTGAGAAAGGCGCCGGGGAAGGGCGGCTGTGTGCTGGGGGGTGGTACTCCGTACTCATCTCTATTGTGTACAGTACAGGACTTGTAGTACGGAGTAATTCCTATGGACTCTACACGAAGGGTGAGGTTAGGTTAGGTTAGGTAGGTAGGTGGTTGGTTACCTTGATTTTTGGTGAGGCAAGCAAGCTAGTTAACTAGCTTCGACAGTGCCTCGTGCCTTATAGTAAGTAGGTTGTTATTTTCCCCCTTTGCTGGGATTGTTGATTGGGTGTGGTGATTCGTGATTCTACACTATTATACGTGCTCGATAACATTGATGGTACAAAACATAATGAGTAGCTAAATATTTGTAGTGTAAGGCACCCCTTTGCCACAGATGAACAAACAAGAAAAAAAAAAGCGAATGATGAAAGAAAAGAATTTTTGATGTACTAAGTACAGGGTACTACATGTTTGGAGGTTTCTTGGGTGGAAGTCGTCCCGGGACAAGCTTAACAGAGTGGACGATGGACAGGGATATGAGTGGACTGGTGTGCATTTCATTCTACTGTCTTCATGATAGTGTTGAAATCATATTCTGCTTCTTTTGGGGACTCAGTACTCCGTGCTCCATAAATTTCTTACCTGGAGCAATTTTACTCGTATAAGTACAAGGTTGGCAAGGAAGGCTGATAGAGGAGTTGGTGGGGATTCTTGGGGCTCTACTCTGTACAATAGCAGGAGGTATGTGGCGAATGGCACATGGGCTCATTAGTCCATAAGGGCAGTACTTTTGATCTTGTGTCTTACTGAATAAGATGACCAAATAAGTGAGACCTGGTGCTAAGTATTCTGTCAAATGTGTGTGGCTAAGAAAGATTTCTTTCTATACTATAATTTTAAATAATGGTACACACCATGCACTGTACATACATTCCAGAATGAACAATTGCGATGTCTGTACTTTACCTACAAGACTGGTATCTGTCCCTCTATTGCTGAGCCAGGCAAGAAGAAAAAGAACTCGATCGATCGATCCTACCCCTGCTCAATACTAAATGTCGGTCAGTGTTTCATCCAGAAGATGCAGAAACTCATTTTACCAAGGACGGGCGCATGTGGTGTGAGGCTGAGAGTCACATAGTATAGTCGAGTATTGTGCCGGGGTGTGATGTACTGTACGGTGCTTGCCTTCCCACTTCGATCTAGAAACAACTGGGGTTAATTGCACCATCATTCCCTGCCCGTGTATCTCTGCCCAGATCCTTGCCCAGATTAGTGTACATGTGGTATGCTTACACCTATGCTTATTTCTTTATCTGCCACCCGCGTTCCTGACTAGTTATAGTCCCCCCACCCGGAAGTCACGAATTGCAAGCTTGGTTCTTGAAGCCGGTCGGCTGGAAATAAAATCTAATGAAACGCAGCTAAGGCGCACGATCAAACGCCATACGGGAGACAAATGGTAACCAACCATGGCAAGCGCCATGATTGCGAAGGTATTCCGAGGTCAATGCCCACGCGAGAGGGTCGTTCTTGACAATTGTGTTTGTTGTTGTATGAGGGTGGGTAGGTAACAAGAGAGAGGTATTCTTTCCAGGGGGAATTGCGGCAATAGGCAAGGAAGTAGAAAAAAAAAGATAAAGAAATCAACGAGAAAATGTAAAGGAAAAATAGAACAGGAATCGAAGGTCCGCAGGTGAACCCGGAGGAGAAACATTGGCAATGTGTTGGATAGAAGAGCATAGCGAGGATCGCATGAACGGAAAGCGGAAAGCAAAGGCACAAGAGCACCCCCACAGCGCAGACCAACTTTTGACTTCTGCCCTTTGCCAGTGATAGTTCAAGACCATGCAAAGTCATCGGGCATCATGACAAGCGTGTAGCGCCGATCCCCTTTTCTAACCTGGCCCCCGCAGCCCTTGCGCACCCGTAACCCACGCCGTATTTTGTCCGACTTCATTTGCAAACCCGGACGCGAGTCCATCGCTATCTCTACTAATTTACTCGGCAGCGGGCTTCTCCTCAGCAGAAGCAGCCTCCTCCTTATCGGCAGGAGCGCTGGACTCAGGAGCAGCCGTCTCGGCCTCCGACGAGGTCCAGAGCGTCTAGGTGTGCATTAGTACGGGCGTGTCAAACCGGGTGTAGCTGTATACGTACCAGGTTGTCTCTGAGAAGCTGCATGATCAGGGTGGAGTCCTTGTAGCTCTCCTCGCTCAAAGTGTCAAGCTCTGCGGGCATTTGTCAGTCTTTGCCCTGCTCGCACGAGGTCATACGATAAACATACCGGCAATAGCATCATCGAAAGCAAGCTTGGCCAGGTGGCAGGCCTGGTCGGGGGAGTTGAGGATCTCGTAGTAGAAGACGGAGAAGTTCAGGGCGAGACCGAGACGGATGGGGTGAGTAGGGGCCAAGTCGGTTTGAGCGACCTCAGTAGCGCTCTTGTAGGCCTCGAGGGAGGCATCAGCAGCGCCCTTGCGGCGGTCGCCAATGGCGAACTCAGCAAGGTAACGGTGGTAGTCACCCTTCCTGTCAAGAGCACCCGCCCAGGTCAGTATTGCAGCCACCAAACGGTACGTAAGAGACAGACGCACATCTTGTGGTAGAAGACCTTGGACTCGCCGCTCTGGGCAGAGGGGATCAAGTGCTTGTCGAGAACCTCAAGGATGTCATCGCAGATCTTGGCGAGCTCGGTCTCGATCTTCTGGCGGTACTCCTTGATAAGGGTAACCTGGGGACCGTTGCCCTTGGACTCCTCTTTTTGCTCGATGGAGGTGACGATTCTCCAGGACGCACGACGGGCACCGATGACGTTCTTGTAAGCGACGGAGAGGAGATTGCGCTCCTCGACGGTGAGCTCTACATCAGTGGAGGCAACCTCCTTCATGTTCTCGACCATCTCTGCGAGAAAAAGGTTAGCATGAGGGTGGTCGTGCGAGCGCGGGGTGGAGCATTCAGGGATGACGTACCTTCGTAACGCTCAGCCTGCTCGGCGAGCTTGGCCAGGTAAACAGCATCTTCGCGGGCCATTGTGAAAGTGAATTATCTGTGTGAGACAGAAGATGAAAATGTTAGTCAAATAACAGAAAGTCCCCTGGTAGAAAGTCGACGTGATGACAAAAATGGTGTTGATGGGGGAAATGAGGATGATGGGGGGATGCGCCACAGCGATCAACGGAAGATGATAGATAGTGTCTCCGAAGCGAGGGGCAGGCAGCACAGGGCAAAAGTGAGGCTGTGAAGTCAAGTGGTGCAAGGAACACGAAAAGCGATAACCGCTCTCCCCTCCCCTCCTTTTCCCGACTTTCTGGAAGCGTTCCCCGCGATAGGGAATAGATTGCCCACCCGTCGCAGCAAGCACGTAGAATGGTCGGAAGTGAAGAAGATCGAGGTGGGAACAAGCAAGCATGATCATTCCTCAGATCCTGTCCGCTGTACTCTTCGGCCCCCTACCATGCACCCACATCCATCCACCCATCAACAAGACGCACGGCGACGATCCCAGAGGCTTGTTGACGGTTGAAGGAGGGTAAATTTGCCCTGCTAGGCCTCTGTTCGGCTAGCCGGTGACAAAAATGCTGAGTCGCGTTCCAGTGTAGTTGAGACGGAGAGGGGAGAGCAACGACTGCATGTAGTTGCAACCATTTCACGCGCGAGCTGACTAGGGTCTCATTTCCAGTGTTCCAGAACCTCTCGATACCACAAGTCTAAATCATTTGCGATCGTGAAAGCCGCCGGAAACGACGGAGCGGCTGGGTGATCCGGGATGAGGAGGGGAAATTTGAGGGGAGGGGGGAGTGTCTTGGTGGTAGGAGTGGAAAAGATGACGGCAGTGGAACAGATAGAGAACCAACTCACCTGAACGGAAGATAGGGAGGGATTGTAGTTGCTCTGTTGTCTGTAAAGTCAGTGGTGTTGTAGAGTGAGATAGGCGTGAGTGAAGGATTATAGAGCAGGGAGATTTTTTTTATTCCTTGTTGTACTGCTCGTTTGGGATGTTTTGCTGTTTCGAATTTTGAGGATTGGGGGAGGGGGAGAGGCCAAGTTGGATCACTAAGCGGGCAGGGGGGGGGGGGGAAATAGTAGGTTTGGGTGAAGACGGAGGGGAAATTAGGGAGAAATCAAAAGAATTGATTGCTGACTGACCGGATTGGAGAGGAGACGAAGAAGTGAGATAGGTTGGAAGGAGTTAGTCAGGAGGAGAGAGAGAGAGAGAAGAGATAGGTTTAGAGTGGTAGTGGTAGTAGTAAGTTAGTAGTAGTAAGTTGGAGGAGGTAAGATGGGAGAGGTTTAGTAGTAGTTTGTTGGCGGGTGCTGGCTTAGTGTCGGGGGGAGGGGAGGGGAGGGGAATGAGAAGGGAAGAAGAGAGGGAGGGAGAAGGGAAGGGCAGGGGGGGGGTCTGTTTAGTGCAGATGGGAAATGGGCAATTAATGGCGGCCGGAAAGAGAGTGAGAGAGGGGGGGAGGGGAGGGGAACGGAGGCGTAGGAGGAGCCAGACTGAACAGAACAGAACAGACACCGACAGATAGACAGACAGACAAAAGAGAGTCAATCAAGTCACTCACTCAGTCACGCACTCATTTACGGAGTACTCTTTACTCACCTCTATTCCTCCCTTTCTCATTCTATGGTCAGGAAATCTTCTCCCCCCCCTCCCCCAAGCCTAGACAAGTACTCCGTACATCGCATCATTATTGTCATCATCGTCATGATCCTCAGCCTCTTCAGCCTAACTGGTAACTAAACTCAAGGAACTCATGCACGCCTCTTACTCCTTTTTACATCCGTACCTAAAGAAAATTGAACCATTCAGCCACTCTCTTTCCCCCCTACCGTACGAAATAGTCAGCTCCTGTTGCAACAATGGACATCGCACGGTTAGGCTAGAGTCTAGATAGGAGGTGGATGATGGTGTATCCATTTTCGACCCCCTTCCCCTCATTATTACCCAGAGAAAAAAAAATCCAAAATGGAGAAATACACCGCAATATTACCGCTATGGGTTCTGCGGGCCGGGATATTATTGCTGTCAATACGGTACTACTGCCAATTATAAGATCTTCTCCCCTTCTGGTGGATTTCTAGAATTGATTTGCTGGGGATTGCGCAGGGTGTGGGAGAGTAGGCCAGCAGAATAGAGACGGACAGAAGCAGACAGAAGCTCTCTGTGCACTACGTAGGCGCCAACCGACTACTAGCAACATCAAGCCCAATGCACTGGGTGAAGGCGCATGGTACAGCAGACCGGAATCATGACGCCCATTGAACAGAGATCCAGCCTGGAACAGAATCAAGAAGAAGCCTCAGAAATTCTCCCCGACTACTCCGTACAGAGCAGATTCCAAAGCGTCTGGGATACGTCTCTCCTGAGTCCTGAATGTTTAATGGCGTGGGTGATTACCTGCCTGCCAATCTGGCTGGTTTAGGTCGGTCGCTTGAGTGGTTCGGTGGGCCTCTCATCGTCATCCCTATTTCACTTCCGCCAATTGTCCAGCCCACTCTTTCACCACCCCAGTCAAGGTCATCATGAAGGGGGCCGACGATACACATATCAATTCATGAAGCGGGTACCGAAAAAAAAAAAGAAAACAATAGGGGAAAAAAGGGTGAAGATGGAGGAGCCGCCAGGTAGCAATTTGTGACCGATGTGTTGGAAATATTGATTGATCTGGGCTCAAGGGGGTCTGCGTTTCTCTTTTTCTGGAACCTCGGGGAATAATAGTACTGATGGATCCGACTATTGGAGGGAAGCTATCCCATCTTTCATCCTATTAATATCCCTCAGGGATCGCTGGCAGTGGCAGGTCGGCGGCTCTTTGTCAAGCTTATCATCAGTGTTGGCCCGTTGCCTGGTGGACAGGGACTCGAATGTAGCACATGACTGGTATTTAGGCCAAGAGTCCGTGTAGAGACTAGACAGTATGGAAGGTGAATCTGTAGATTTGGCGTGACGATACCATAAAAGGGAGGAGGTGGGCAAGGAGGAGATGGTGACAATCATTCAACATTCTCAGCCACCACCACCACCACCACCACAACAGCAGCAGCAGCAGCACAGTCATGACGCGGGACCCGTTAGAGCTTGCCGGCGGCAGCTCACCTGACCACCAGCAACACAACACAAGTTATCGGGCCCGACCTGACGATGGCTGAGTCACCCGCTCTGGGTTGAACCCGCCCGCGACATCGGACCATCTCCCCATCCGGGGCCGACGCATCACATGATCGGCCAGTGCCGTGCCAACCACTTCCCATTCAATGTCGTCATTGGTCTCGACAGCAGTGGGAAGTTAGGTAATCCAGCACGAAAGTACCACCAGCCCAAAGTACTACAAGTACCTGAGCAAAGCTCGCCTCACGCTACATCGTCTCATGTACCTTGTCTTGTCACTATCACCATCTGACACATCCTCCTCCAACCGATAACTTCCTTCCATCTTCCACCCCCTCCTCACTCCTCACATCCCCAACCACTTCCCGCTCAGCCCAACTCAATCACCATGCTCCGCCAATCCATCACCAAGCCTCTCACCAGCACGGTCATCAGCCGCTCCTTCTCTGCTCTTACCCCCAGAATGGGTGCAGGTGATACCGGTGCTCCCCGCGCTGGCGGCGTTCAGTCAGGGTACGTTCAAAGCCAATCCCATCCACCGCAAGCAATCCCAATCCCTTGCTACAACACTGCTCACAGATGACATCATCATCATCATCATCATCATCATCATCACCACCTCAACCACCAATTTCAAGGCTAAGGCTAACCCGAATCCCAACGCAGTGACTCTTTCACCAAGCGTGAAGCCGCTCAGGAAGGCCGTTACATCCACGAGAAGGAATTGGAGAAGTACGTCCATCAGCCCATTCCGTCCCCGAACCACCATCGCCTATCTCAATGCTGACCTACAATCAACAGGCTCCAGAAGCTAAAAGCGAGCATCAAGGCTCAGCGTGAACACCTTGACAAGCTCGACGAGCACATGTAAGGCTTCCATCGACCAAAAAAAATCTCGTTCAACAACCTTTCAACTAACCTCGATTGTTCACTATAGCGACGAGATCACCAAGGAGCAGGGCGGCGAGCAGAACTAGATTTGCGTGCACAGCACACTCCCCAATACCCCAACATCCTCTATATCTTCGAAGTTGACCTCTCAGCTCGGTCTACTACATAAGCCTCTTGCTTCTTCTTTTTGTTTCGTTCTTATTATATCCCCGCGAACGTGTCACACTCCTCTCTCTATCCTTGCTTCGCTTCGTAAATCGGAGCGATATTTGACGAATATGACTTGTATGTTGATGTGATGGTCATGCTTTTTTGATATTAGCATGCCGTGCAGCTAGTTAGTCTACGCTGAGACGTTTACTATACGGAAGCATTCGATTCTTCGCTGTGTTTTATGTGTAAATCTATCATGATTATACTTACGGTCCCACGGTTCCGCTCAAGAACGCATAGATTATTTGAATCAATACATATACCGCAGTATAAGGCATACGAAGGGACTTCTAGGTAGAATGATACTTTATTATTCTTCATTATCCATCCCATCCCATGACAAATCCGACGCAACCACAGTCGCAAGTGCAAAACGAGTACTCCGATAAAAAAGCATTTCTCAGTGGATACAAAACTTCAGAGTAAAAGCCTAGCGCAAACGTGAAGGGGCCCCCACCAATATGAAATCAAAACTCCACTGCATTATGTTTAGCGCCGTCCCATGTAAGACCGATAGAAATCATCCGCTGCGCTACCGCCCATCGTCGAGTTACCCAATCCTCCGTATCCGAATCGCGAGGACAGCGACTGACCCGCCCGCTGCGCCTTGGCGACCTTCTCGTGGAGCTCGGTGGTGCCCTGATCAATCGTTTGAAGCTGCGCAAGGTGGGAGTTGAGGATGCGGACGATTTGAGAAATCTGTGATTTCGTGGATCAGTATCAGGGAAGAAGCGTTACAAAAGAGTATCGAATGAATACGCACCGGCTCATCAGCCTTGCTTGTCTTGCTCAGAGTAGCAGAGGCACTGTTGAC